TAGAATAATAAAGTAATTAATTAGCCTTAAGTGATAAGATGGAGTCAGGTGCATCATCCTCTCCCCTTGCTGGGGATGCCTGTGGATGCTGGTGGGGTCTCACTGCTCCTCCTGCCCTGCAGACTACAGCCAGGATGAGAAGGCCCTGCTGGGAGCCTGTGACTGCAGCCAGGGTGAGTGTGGCACCTGGGGTCCCCATGTCCCATCCCCAATGCTCCATCCCCAGCTGGGCCAGGAAACGCCAAGCCAGGCTCTGCTCCCTCCCATTAACCCAGCACAGGCTGGGATCACAGAGCATTGAATTATTCCAGCTGGAAAAGCCCTCTGAAATGATGGAATCCACCCCAAGGGCCATGTCCAGGCATTTTTTAACACCCAGGGGTGATAATTCCACCACTTCCATGAGCAGCCTGTCCAGTGTGGGTGTCAGGACACCAGTTCAGCACTGGTTTCTGCTGGGGAGGGAGGGAAAAGTCCCCAAGGGGGTGTGACAGAGGGACTGAAGGGAAATCTGCTCTATGGCACAAAGGGGAGAGGAAAATAAATGGGAAGAGAGAGGGGAGTGGCTGTAAGGAGTGAGGGGATGTGCTGGGGGTGTAACTGGGTGTTCCCAGGAATTAACATCTCATTTCCCAGGAATTAACATCTCATTTCCCAGGAATTAACATTCCATTTCCCAGGAGTTAATGCCCCATTTACCAGGAGTTAAACCCCCTTTCCAGGCAGTTATCATCCCCTTTCCTAAATGTTAACATCCTATTTCCCAGGCAGTTATCATCCCATTTCCAGGAGCTAACATCCCCTTTCCCAAGAGTTAACACCCTGTTTCCCAAAAGTTAACACCCCATTTTCCAGCAGCTAACACCCCATTTCCAGGAGTTAACACCCCCTTTCCCAGGAAGGTTAATACTCACTTTCCAGGCAGTTATCATCCCATTTTCCAAGTGTTAACATCCCATTTCCAGGAGTAAATATCCCCTTTCCCTGCAGTTAACACCCCATTTCCCAAAAGTTAACACCCCATTTTCCAGCAGCTAACACCCCATTTCCCAGGAGTTAACACTCCGTTTCCCAGAGGTGAAGATTCCCATTTCCAGGAGCTAACCCCCCATTTCCAGGAGTTAACCCCCATTTCCATGAGCTAACACCCCTTTTCCTCCCCAAGTGGTGAAGCCCAGCGGTGTACACCTGAAGCTGGTCCTCAGGTTCCAGGATTTTGGGAAAGCCATGTTCAAGCCCATGAGGTAAGGGCAGCAGAGCCCCCCTGAGCCCCTGCAGGGTGGGCTGGGACCCTCCTTGGCATGGGAAGGTCCCACCACCCCTTCCCTCTCTGCCCTCCCTACCTGGGCAGTGAAAATGTTCCATTATTTTCCATTTTTCTTGGCTGCTCTCACCACCCCAGGAGCACACATAGGTAAACACCAGCGTTCCCACAGTGCTGTTGGTGTTGGAAATGTCTCAGTTTTGGGTGCCAGGTGCAGAACGACCTTGGGACACTTGTTCTCCTGAGATCCTTGCCATGAGGGACTGCTCTTCCCCAGCAGACTTTGGGGCTTGCCTTGCTTTTCCTTGGATTCCCCAGAGTGTTTCCAAGAAGCAGCCATCAAACAGGGGATTTAAATTGCTGCTGCTTTATTTGCAGCCCCTTGGGACTCTTGACATCAATTCCCTCTCACTTTGCTGTCCATGTGTGACAGAGCAGCTGGGATGATAAATCCTCACCCAGGAGGAGCCAGCTCCTGTCCCCTGGGTTTCCATTCACCTCTGTCCAGTGTCCACCGGGTCCTGGAGGGGAAGGAGAGCATCCATGGCCTGAGGGATTTCCTGTGTCCTGTCCCCTTTCCCAGGAATTAACATCCCATTTCCCAAGGGTTATCATCCCATTTCCCAAGAGTTATCATCCCATTCCCCAGGAATTACCATCCCATTCCCCAGGAATTAACATCCCATTCCCCAGGAATTAACGCCCCCTTTCCCAGGAGTTAATATCCCCTTTCCCATGAGTTAACACTCCCTATTCCCAGGAGTTAACATCCCATTTCCCAGGAGTTACCACTCCATTTTCCAGGAGTTACCACCCCATTTCCCAAGAGTTACCACCCCATTTCCCAGGAGTTAACACTCCCTATTTCCAGGAGTTACCACCCCATTTCCCAGGAGTTAACACCCCTTTCCAGGAGTTAACTTCCCATTTTCCAAGGAGTTGAGGCTGAGCATCAGGTTCCCACGTTGCACCTACTGGGGCACCTTGTGCCAGCCAGAAAATGGAATTAAATGGAGCTCCCACCTCAGGGATAGGAGAGCATCAGCCCTGAGCCCTCCTCTGTCTCCAGGGGGATGTGACAAAAACCACCTGACACTTTGTCCTGAGGGGGTCTAAGCTCTTGCTGGAGCAGATTTAAGCCCCAGCCAGCTCTTCTGCCTCCCCAGGGTGCAGGTGCTGCTCCCTGGCTCCAGCTGGGCACGGAGCCCTTGGCTCTGACCCTGTCCCCATTGTGGCCCCCCAGCTGTCCCTGTGCCACCCCTCAGTGTCCCGGCTGCCCAGGGCTCACCCGCTGCTTCCTCCCAGGCAGAAACGTGAGGAGGAGACTCCTGAGGATTTCTTCTACTTCGTGGATTTCCAGCGGCACAACGCGGAGATCGCTGCCTTCCACCTGGACAGGTAGGGCTGGCACTGCCCTGGCACTGCCCTGCTGCTCTTCTGGCCACCATGGTCTGGGAAAAGCCCTGCAGGGCTCAGGGAAAGGAAATTTCCAGGAAATTTCCAGGAAAGGAAAGGAAATTTCAAGGAAATTTCCAGGAAAGGAAATTTCCAGGAAAGGAAAGGAAATTTCAAGGAAATTTCCAGGAAAGGAAAGGACATTTCCAGGAAATTTCCAGGAAAGGAAATTTCAAGGAAAGGAAAGGAAATTTCAAGGAAAGGAAATTTCAAGGAAAGGAAATTTCAAGGAAAGGAAAGGAAATTTCAAGGAAAGGAAATTTCAAGGAAAGGAAAGGAAAGGAAATTTCAAGGAAAGGAAAGGAAAGGAAATTTCAAGGAAAGGAAAGGAAAAAGGAAAGGAAAAAGGAAAGGAAAGGAAAGGAAAAAGGAAAGGAAAAAGGAAAGGAAAGGAAAGGAAAGGAAAAAGGAAAGGAAAAAGGAAAGGAAAGGAAAGGAAAAAGGAAAAGAAAGGGAAAAAGGAAAGAGGAAAAAGGAAGGGGAAAGGGGAAAGGAATCCTCCAGAAGATCCTCCTGGCTCTCATCTGACACCCCAGAGCCAGCTTTGCCTTGGGAGCAGGTGCAGTCCAGGTGGGAACGGGTCAGATTCTCGCCTGGCTGTCACACGTTGTCCCTCCCCTGCATCCAGGTGCCAGTCTGAGCTCTGGGCACAGCCTGGGTGCCCTGCTGGTGGGGGAGGCACACACTCCATCAGCATCAAGGTGTGCTTTGGGTTGATAAACTGCAGCAATGCAGTATTGAGCCCTCAGATAATGAGCAATTAACCTGCACCTCTTCCCAGCAGGGTGTGTGTTTAATAACATCAAAAATACCCTTGTGAAAAGATGAGGGCAGCAGCCTTTCCCTCCTCTGAACACCAGATCTCTGATGGTCAGGGTGGGTGGGGATCTCCAGTTTCTCTAGGATAAGCAGGACTAAATTAAGTCCTGTAGCTCAGACTCAGAGAAAGGGAACAAAGGGAGCTGAATTCCCTTCCCAGTTCTGCCCCAGCATCCTCACAGTGACTCTGCTTGACTCAGCCTCCACCACCTCGCCCCTGCAGCTCCACTGCCACAAAAATGAGGCCAGACTGCTTTTGTCAAGTGCTTTGTGGTTTTCAGAGCTGAAAGATGCTGGATAAAAGCAAATATTTTCTTCTCTCTGAACATTGCTCAATAAGTAGCAGGCTAAATCCTGTTCTGTGCCCAGTTCCCAGGAGCAGGGGGCGTTATCCAAGGAGCCAAGCAGAGCCAGCTCTCCCCATTTACTGACTCAGCAATCAGCAGCAGCTGCCCATTGACTGCCAGGAATGCTTTCCTGCCCCAGGCCCTGAGGTTTTTAAGAGTATTTTTGAGGAATTAGCTGTGCATGAGAGCCTCTGGAGGAGGGGATGCCTCCTCAGCCACATTGTACCACGATCAACCTCTTTTCTCCATATCAAACCAACACTGTAGAGGGGCCTGAAGGGCTGCTCTGGCCCTGTTTGTGTGCAAAGGGTGGGGAGAAACCAAGGCAACGTTAGGGAAAGAGACAGGAATGCTGGAGAACATCCAGCTCGTTCCAGACAGCAGCTATTAAAATACCAAAATCCAAACAGAGCCACATTACATTTTGGCCCAGAGGGGTTTTTGCTGGAAAGAGTCTGGGTACAGGGATCCAAAGGCTCCTGGTGGAAGGGGCAGCACCTGCCACCCCAGTGTGCAGCAGCAGCATCCCTGTGCCCTCTGTGCAGGATCCTGGACTTCAGGAGAGTGCCACCCACCGTGGGGAGGCTGATCAACGTCACCAAGGAGATCCTGGAGGTCACCAAGAACGAGGTTCTGCAGAGTGTCTTCTTCGTGTCACCAGGTGGGCAGGGGCTGGCTCAGGATGGGGCAAATCGTGGCCTCAGTTGTCTTTGAGGTCCCTTCACAGCTGACCCAAAGCTGTGGTGTTCCACGGTGGGAGGAAGGGGCTGCAGGAAAAGGGGCTGCAGGACTCGTGCTATGGTGCAGAAATGAAATTCTTGGGTTAAATGTGCACAAAAACATGGTTACTGCAGACTTCCCTCCAGCTGGAATCACCTACCAGATCTTCTCATTTGGCCGTTCTTTCTTAACCTTTCCCTTAGCACAGGGCCCCAATCTGTCATTTGGCAGGTTGAAATCCATGCCATGGCTGCTTTGGGGTTTTCCTTGTTTTTCCTTGGATTCCCCAGAGTGTTTCCATGAAACACCCATCAAACAGGGCGTTCTAAACTGCTCTGCACTCATTTGCACCCCTTTGGGACTCTTCCCATCTGCTCCCCCTCACTCCATCTCTCCCATAAGAAATAATCACTGTCCCATGGTAGGGAAATGTGGCAGCAGCTCTGTGGGCACAGAGAGAAACACAAATTTCCCAGGATTTTCCTGGGG